TTTTTAGTAGAGACGAGGTTTCCCCATGTTGGCCAGGCTGGTCTCGAACTCTTGACCTCAAGTGATCCGCCTGCCTTGGTCTCCCAAAATGTTGGAATTACAGGCATGAGCCACTGTGCCTGGCCCGTTTATATTTTTTAACTGGTCTTTGAGACTGTGCTTGTGGGCGAGCAGATTAAATAAAAGAGTTTCCTCAGATGACCCTATCAAGAAAGCACTACCAAGAAGTAAGCACTGCAGATCTGAGTCAAAGTCTACCTTGCTCATTTTGGCTGGATCAGAGAAAGATTCTTGGGTTCTGTATACTGTGCTGAAACATGCAAGACAAGTTGTGTTTTTAGGTTTTTATTAAATGAGGAAGGCTGGGTGCAATGGCTCACGCCTGTAATCCAGCACTTTGGGGAGGCTGGGACAGGTGGATCACCTGAGGTCGGGAGTTCGAGACCAGCTTGACCGACATGGAGAAATCCTGTCTCTACTAAAAATACAAAATTAGCTGGGCGTGATGGCTCATGCCTGTAATCCCAGCTACTCGAGGCTGAGGCAGGAGAATCGCTTGAAGCTGGGAAACGGAGGTTGCAGTGAGCCGAGATCGCACCATTGCACTACAGCCTGGACAACAAGAACTAAACTCCGTCTCAAAAAAATAATAGTAAATTAGGAAAATACCGTAATGTTATTATTTGATTATGGAGACAAACCTATTTACAGTCTGACTGTTCAGATTAAATAGTTGTGTCCAAACCTGGAATAACATTAAGAAATGTTCAAAACCTGTTTTGAAAAATTAAGCTGTAGAAAGGCCTGTTGTAATACAAATATCACATTAAACGAGTAAAACTCACTGAAAGGTACTTCTGTAAGTGTTGAAAAGTTGGGTTTTTGTGGGGTTTTTTGGGGAGGCTGGAGGCAAGGTCACATTCTTGTCACCCAGGCTGGAGTGCAGTGGCATGATCTCTGCTCACTGCAGCTTCTGCCTCCCAGACTCACGCAATCCTCCCACTTGAGCCTCCCTAGTAGTTGGGACTATATTCACATGCCACCACACTTGTCTAATTTTTGTATTTTTTGTAGAGATAGGGTTTCGCCATGTTACCCAGGCTGGTCTCAAACTCCTGAGCTTAAGTGATCCGTCTGCCTTAGCTTCCCAAAGTGCTGGGATTACGAGTGTGAGCCACCACACCTAGCTATTGTTTTTGGTTTTTTGAGACAAGTTCTCACTCTGTCACCTGGGCTGCAATGGCACAAACACAGCTACTACAGCCTCAACCTCGTGGGCTCAGGTGATCCTCCCTCAGCCCCTGAAAGTGCTGGGATTACAAGTGTGAACCACTGTGCCTGGCCTATTATACTTGACATTAAAAATAAGATTTTTGGCCAGGCATGGTGGCTCACGCCTGTAACCTCAGCACTTTTGGAGGCCAAGGGAGAACCACTTGAGGCCAGGAGTTCGAGACCAACCTGGGCAACATAGCGAGACCCCCATCACTACAAAACAAAATTAGTCAGGTGTGGTGGCATGCCCTTAACGGTTCCAGCTACTCAGGGGGGCTGAAATGGAAGGATTGCCTGAGCCTGGGAGGTCAAGGCTGCAGTGACCCATGTTCGCGCCACTACACTCCAGCCTAGGTGACAGAGTTAGACCCTGTCTCAAAAAAACAAAAAAAGAAAAGATCCTTAATTGGAGAAATGTCAAAATGTAGAAAGAAAAAGTCTTCAATGGAAATGGGATATTTGAGTAAATGGAATATTATACTCACGTGGGCAGGTTTTATTTGGGTTGTTTATTTGAAATTAGAATCAGTAACTTTACTGGTATGAATAACCTTTAGTAATTCTTCAAATTGTGGGACCAGAGGAAATAAGACCTTTCATTGTTTGCCTGCAATAACACTAAAATGTCATTGTGGCCATCTGAGTAAGTTTTGTTACAAAACACATTAATCAGAGTTCACTCTCTTTAGGCTAGTGTGCCTTTTCTTACAGATATTCCTTGCATATAGAAAAAAAATCATTTACTTTGATTTGTTTTTCTTTTAACTTGCATTTGATCCCCTTAAGAACACGACCTCGAGATGATATCCTCAGTAGACGTGAAAGATCAAAAGATGCCAGCCCCATCAATAGATGGTCTCCAACCCGAAGAAGAAGTAGATCTCCCATTAGAAGGAGGTCTCGTTCCCCACTCAGACGTAGCAGGTCTCCAAGAAGAAGAAGCAGGTCTCCTCGGAGAAGGTAAAGACATTTCATCCTTGTGATTCATTAAACTCTGAATGTTTTTAAACCACCAATGAGCTCAGTTGGTAGGTTTTCTTTTGACCAGTTTTCTCTGAAAAATCGTAGTTGTGTTCCCAGTTTCCTTTTACCAGCAGTCTTTACACGTGGGTTTTCTTTTATATCGTTTCCTTTGAATTTTAACCAAATCATTACTCATTTAAGATGCAATAAAATTAATCTTTTAAGAGTAGGACTTTTTTCTCTCTTTTATAAGAGATAAATATTAAATGAGCCAGGCCTAGGGATTTTTTTTTTTTTTAAACTGGCAAGGTAGATCATATAATAGTAAATAGCCCAGTTTCTTATCATTTTATATTAATTTTGCATATTGATAGTTATTGTAGACTTTGGCCAAGGCCTATTTAATTTGCCATGGAAACCACTTTATCTGAAGCATATGTAGTCAGTAGTAGGTTAAAAAGGTGGTTTATAAAGCAGGGAATCATTTTTTAAAATTCATACATACATGAAATATTTTGATATAAAACATAAATGGGTATTTGTTCGCCAGTCTTTTAACATTTTTAATTGAAGTAATAAATGAATGTAATTCTTAAAAAACAAAGGCTTATATTGTAGTCATCTCTACATATCTCTCAGAATTTTTGTATGCTGTATTCCTAGAAGTGGAAATGCATGGTCTGAGTACACTCTGGACAATGAGGGGTTTTATTTATTTATTTTTTTTAGACAAAGTCTCACTCTGTTGCCCAGGCTGGAGTGCAATGGCGCGATCTCACTGCAACCTCCACCTCCCGAGTTCAAGCAATTCTCCTGCCTCAGCCTCTCAAGTAGCTGGGACTACAGAGGTGCGCGTGCCACCATGCCTGGCTAAATTTTTTTTTTTTTTGTATTTTTTTAAATAGAGATGGAGTTTCACCATGTTGGTCAGGCTGGTCTCAAACTCCTGACCCCAAGTGATCCGCCCGTCTCGGCCTCCCGAAGTGCGGGGATTACAAGCATGAACCGCCGCACACAGCCACAATGAGGGTTTTTAATACCACCCCTCACCCATGTTTCTCTTTTGCCTATTTCCATCACACCTTTTTGTTCTTCTAGAGTCAGTGTAATCATTGTGATCATGTATGTATTCATTGCTGGGCAGATAGTCGGGGGAGGAGGGCAGAGAGGACCTGCCTTCTGAGACTGCTAGTCTGCTGGCTCCAAGCTCATCTTACAACTTGCTTTTTTCTCTCTTCCCTTTTTATAAAAAATTTCTTGTGTTCTGAAATTTTATTATGTGCCTCTATATGTGGATCTTTATCCCCATTTATTTTGCTAATTACTAGATAGGGCCTTTAAAGCAGGGAGTTTATGGCCTTCTGGGAAATGTTTGTGCTTTTTTTTGTTTTCTTTCTGTTTTTTTCCAATTGGACCTTCTGTATCGCTCCATATATTAATGTTTTATTCTTGTTTTCCAGAAATAGTATTTCTTATCTCTCAGACAATAGTGAGGTTATTTTGTGCGATTTTTGTTCTTTATAGTTTTCTTTGCTATATTTTGTTTCTTCCCAGATTCCTTTTGCTGCATGTTTACCTTTCATTTGAAGACTTTTCTCACACAGCTGGACCCTTCATTGCTGCCTATTCTGACTTAATATTTAGGTACTCAGGAAGCTGAATGGGATTTTTCTTCTATTGTGACAGTATAGAACTTGCCAGCTAGTGGTTATCACTTCAGAGTAATTAGATATTTTTGGATATCGGTGACTGTAGATGTATTTTCTTAGGCTATGAGTTTTCCAGAATCCTTTCATCTCCTCCTGGGAAATAGACCTGGCTACCAGTGGAGTTCTCTTTCTTCATAATGTTAGCTTCCTTATAATCCCTCTATTTTTGATGTGTGCCTCTCAGCGTCTGGAATGGCCAACACTTCCCTAGAAAGTAAATCTTAAGTGTTCTGCTAGAATGCGAAGGGAGTGGTTGACGTTTTCCACTGAGTTGGGGAGGGGAGTCTGGCTGTTTATAAAGGCTTTCAACCAATTCTGTCTTCAGCTCTTACCTCACACCATCTTGCGGAGGATAGGGAGTCTCCAATTCCTGAGGCTTTCTGGGAGTGTTGTGACATGTTCTGTTTCTGATTTACCTTGTGTGTTCATGTTGGACCAATATTCAGCTCAGTTTGGTCTGTTACTATTCTTTACTCCAATTTGCACATTCCAAGATTTTCTTCTCATCTCTGCTATCATATCTCTTGACATTCTCCTTGCCTGAGGGTTTTCCTCCCCTCCCCACCCCACCCCACTCCACCCCTGGCCTCCCTTCTTTCTCTTTTCTCTCTCCCCTCTCCCCTCTCCCCTCTTCTCTTTTCTCTTCTTTCTTGAGATAGGATCTTGCTCTGTTGCCCAGACTGGAGTACAGTGGTGCAGTCATGACTCACTGCACCCTCAACCTCCTGGGCTCAAGGAATCCTCCCAAGAAGCTGGGAGTATAGGCATGTGCCACCACATCCAGCTGATTTTTTTGTATGTTTTGTGGAGACGGGGTTTCGCCATGTTGCCCAGGTTGGTCTCAAACTCCCAAGCTCTGCCTATCTTGGCCTCCCAAAGTGCTGAGATTATATGTGTGCACCACTGCACCTGGCCCCCAGTTTTGTTTTTTGTTTTTTTTTGTAAGTACTCGTTTGCTCTCATTTTAGTAAGATTTCTTTAAGTTGAGCTCGTTGAAACATACATATAACTTACATAAAGTAAAATGCTTTTTAGTGTAAAGTTGTGTGTATTTTGACAGACACATAAGTCACACTCAAGTTAGAGAATGTTTTCATCACTCCAAGTTCCCTTTTGCCCCTTTTCAGTCTCTCCCTTCACTCCAGTGCTTGTGTACACAACATTAATGCTATAAGAATACAAAGAAACAGTAGGTATTTATCCCCATAGAGCTTACATTTAAGTTCAAGTTCATATCCATGGGCATAATTTCTTAGTTCAGAATTTGATAAGGAATGGTTGTGTTTTAGTTATCTTCAGCTATGCTGATTATCTCAGTCTGATGTTCTGTTCTTTTTCTTAAAATTTTCAAACGACCTTTTTAAAAAATAGACTATATTTTTAGAAGAGTGTTAGGTTTACAGCAAAATTGAGTAGAAAGTAGAATATCTATATATCCCCTGTGCCCACACATGCATGCCTTTTCCCACTTTGACATTTAAAAAAATGTATACCTGTTTTTTCTTCTCCTTTAAATAGGGACAGAGGTCGGAGGAGCAGATCACGCTTGAGAAGGCGCTCTCGATCACGGGGTGGTCGTAGACGAAGGAGCAGAAGCAAAGTAAAGGAAGATAAATTTAAAGGAAGTCTTTCTGAAGGAATGAAAGTTGAGCAGGAATCTTCGTCTGACGATAAGTAAGAATAGAACTTTCCCATAACTTTGTTTTTCCAGTTTAGAGAAGTCTTATTTGGCCTGGAAATTGTTAAATAATTTCCACCTAAATATTATAAGTGGCTCCATTAATTTGGCTCTGAATTTAAAAGTTAGTCTTTTGTGAATATTGTGTAGGTTGTATCAGAGTTAGTAAGTGGTTTTCTGAATTTAGGTGTTTCAGCTTTGGCTGGAGTGAATATTGGGCCTTCATTTTATTGTGAGCCTACCGTTTGTTTTTATTATGAACACTAATAAAATGCAGAGCCAGAGTTACCAGATTTTGGGAGGAATTTTCTATAAAAGTTTAGTGGTTTTTTTTTGTTTGTTTGTTTGTTTTGAGACAGTGTCTCTCTCTGTCACCCAGGTTGGAGTACAGTGGTGTGATCTTCACTTGCTGCAAACTCCACCTCCCGGGTTCACGCCATTCTCCTGCCTTAGCCTCCCGAGTAACTGGGACTACAGGCGCCCACCACCAAGCCCAGCTAATTTTTTCTATTTTTAATACAGACGAGGTTTCACCGTGTTAACCAGGATGGTCTCGATCTCCTGACCTCGTGATCTACCCGCCTTGGCCTCCCAAAGTACTGGGATTACAGGTGTGAGCCACCGCGCCCAGCCAAAGTTTAGACCTTTGAGTTTGCGTTAGATGATACATACTTTGCAATTGAGGCTATTTTGTGGTGGGTGTCCTTGTTACAATGTGAAAATGTAGAAGCATTTCAAGTGCCTGTTACAATTGTGGGGACATTTTTCCCTGTCTCTACAAAAAATACAAAAATTAGCCAGGCCTGGTGGCACACACCTGTAGTCAGGAGGCTGAGGTGGGAGGATCGCTTGACCCTGCGGGGAGGAGGCAGTGAGCTGTGATCACACCACAGCACTCCAGCCTGAGCAAAAAGAGTGAGACCCTGTCTCAAAAAACAAAAATAAATAAAATGCAAACTTAATTGTCTAAGTGGAATATCTCAAAAATAAATGGGACAAATCTAGAGCCATTCTCAACAGGAGGTTATTTGCCTCCCTGGAGACATGTCTGAGGACATTTCTTCTTGTGATTGTTGGCTAGAGGCCAGGGATACTGCATTCTACAGTGCACAGGATAACCACCCCCGACACACACACGCGACTATCCATATCCGAAAATAAATCATGCTAAGGATGAAAAACCCTGATTAAAACCAGGTGATTAAGAAAGTTGGATTGGGGAAGGGCATTCTACATAGATTCTGATATAATCAGAGTGTAGTTTGCCTATTCTGCAGCAAACATTCAGCAAGTAGGATCACTGAAAACATTGCACTGGGAAGGATCATAAAGATTGTGGAGGTTGGTGTTTGAGGGATAGGTGCGGAGGGTTGAGGGTAGTGTTTCGGAGTAGAGCCACATTCCCCTTAAGATTATTTGCATGTGCATTTTTGATAGAGAAATACGGCTGTTGCTTTCTTGAGCTTTTAGGCAGTTGTGACATCCAGAAAAGGTAGCAATTTACTTATCTTACCCTTGCTGTGAGAAAAGTAAGGCTGGAGAGGTAAAGTGACTTCACTAAGGTCATGAAAAAACTAGTGGTAACTTTTGTAAACCTGGAGTTATTTCTTTTATTCCCAATTTTGGTGCCATGAAATAGATGAGAAGAAAACAGACAAAGTTAGGTTACTTCCCTGCATTCGAAACCAGGCAGTTAACTGAGATGGTTTGGAAATAAGGGTAATATGACTTAAGACTTTTGCTCTAACTTACTGATACCTACATTTTCCTGTCTTTAAAGTGTAGAAGGGGTATGGTTTTAGAATCTCTAAGGGTGTTTGAATTTTTCTTTAAGCCTTGAAGACTTTGATGTAGAGGAAGAAGATGAAGAAGCCCTGATAGAACAGAGAAGAATCCAAAGGCAGGCAATTGTTCAGGTATGTGATTTTAATGAAAAATAATCATTGTTGTAAAATAAAGATTTTTTTGCTTTAACAAAAAAGTAACATTAATAACAGTTTAACAGGTCCTTAGAAAAGGAGAATATATATAAAATTATCTTCGTGAGATTTGAAAAAATGATCGTTTTTTTAGTTACTAAAACTAAGATGGTTGCTCTTTGTTGGTTATACATAGAATTCTGGTTGTTTATACATAGAATTCTGATATAAACCTCTTCTGTAATACATAAGAATTTGAGGTTTGCTTTCTTTTTAAGTTAATGAACACGTATGAGTGTAGAATAAACTGGAGGAATTTTATTTAACAAAAAATTATGCATTTTACTATGAATAAAGTAAGTAATGGCAAGTTTTGTAATGTGAATGTGGTAGTTTAAATGAAACATTTGAAAAATAATTTTAAGACTAGAGCCAGATGATGAAGAAGATTGGGTGGGGAAAGAATGTTGTACAAAGATCTTGATATAGTCATTTAATTATAAGGTTTGCTGATTTGGAAGTTTGTCAGCTCTTCCTCAGAAGAGAAAAGGAGAAAACAGCTGTGGCAGCTTACCTAAACACACATAGCAAACCGTAAATCAGGTAATAGTATGCCACGTTGGAGTGAAGGATAGAACTTGCATCACCAGAAAGGAAGTAGGGCAAAACTAATTCCAGAGGAAGCTTACTTTTCTGGGACACTGGTAAAATTGTAGTTAATAAACTGATATCCCTGAAGATATGGATGAATCTTTTTTTGTTCTTGCTCAGGTCCACAACCCCTTACCTCCAACCCTTGGGGCCATATGTGCTTCAGAACTCAGACATTTTGAGTTTTAGAAAGGTGTTATGGTGCATCTATTTTGTGCCATCAGTGGGGTCTGCAGTGGACCCCATAATCAAACACATTAGTATTTCTACAGTGAGGCATCCTGTAATAGTCACACTGGGGAGAAAATAAGACAATAAATGTTATCTCATCTGATAAGGTGAAGTGTTGCCACCTGATGAATGTGTACCAAAGAAAAACTTTTTCAGATTTTTGTGAATTTAGAAATTACATAAGGGATTGTGGATTTGATTGAACCCCAAGATATAAATACTTTTTGGTTTGTTACATTATTTGATACATTCTCTTAACTTTTCACTGCAGCAACTCTTAGCATTGAATATATTTGGATAGCATCCGATTTTATGAAAGTATTATTTTCTGTATTGTTATTACAGAAATATAAATACCTTGCTGAAGATAGCAATATGTCTGTGCCATCTGAACCAAGCAGCCCCCAGAGCAGTACGAGAACACGATCACCATCTCCAGATGACATTCTGGAGCGAGTAGCTGCTGATGTTAAAGAGTATGAACGGGAAAACGTTGATACATTTGAGGCCTCAGTGAAAGCCAAGCATAATCTAATGACAGTTGAACAGAATAATGGTGAGTGAGATAGAGTTTTGTCCTGGCGACGCTTTTCTCTGAATTTTTAGCTCTATAACTTTATAATAAGGGACCTTATTTGGGGTGGGATTGGGAAAAGTAAAAGAAATTAGACGTGTTGCTTCTGCTAAATATTGCAGTAATATAATATTAAATATGTCCTTACAAATGTTCTCTATAAATATGTTTTTATTAGTTCACATATCCTGAATAGTATACTGAACTCCCGCATGTTCATTACCTTTTGTTTTGCTTGCTATTTTAAAGTAAATCCAATTATGATTTTATTCCCCCTGTAAGTACTTGTCTGTATCTCTATCAGTTAAGAACATCAGTGTTTAAAAACATTAAATAAAAGAAGTTTCCACTTTTTGGTTACCCCAAAAGATAGTTTGTACAGGAAAGGCAGGGTAAATACATGTTTATTATTTCGTTTATTTACCAGTTTTTAGAATAGAGTTGGTGCCCTAGCAACCTCCAACAATATCTAATGAGATATTGACTGTTGTGTTAGGTGTTCATCGTTTGGTGTCATTATGTGCTTGATGTGTTTCTGTCTGGTGCTGTTATTTTTTCTTTCTGAAGCTCAAATTGGTCTAACTGGATTGGGGAAAGGAGCCCTTTTTCAGTTGATTTCTCGTGTCCTTTTGGCCTAGTCCTTTAGTATTGAATATAGCTTTCTTACTTTCTAGAACAGGGACCAAGCAAGCTTTTTGTCTAAGAGGTTAGGTAGTAAATAGTTGAGCCTTTAGTAGGTATATTGGCCTTTTCCTCTATAGTTCCATATGGTGAACTTGTTGGAGGGCAGAACCTGCCACAGACAGTACATTGATGAATGGGCATAGCTGTGTTCCCGAAGAAACTTTGAAACTGAAATTTGAATTTCATCTAATTTTCACTTGCCACAAAGTATTCTGTTTTCCCCCCCCGAACACTTACAAATGTAAAAATAGGCCATACAGAAAGAAGCAGCCGGCTAGATTTCGCCCACAGTCTGTATATAGTTTACCAACTCCCATTCTAGCAAGATGCCACAGGTTTATGTTGTGCATGTCTTGCCCGGAGCAGAATCAGCTATTTCTCCAAGGATCGCTGGTTCCATTTAATAGGAAATGCCATGTAGACATCACAGGACACTTACTAGTGTCTGTTATTTCTGGGCCTTTTCACTGGACAAAGTTAGGAAGTAGATACTCTTTTGGAAAGGAAGAGTTTACAG